AAGCAAACAAGTTATGCAAACAGTCGGACTCAGAATCAGACTCAACTATGGTCGGTGAAGGTGAACTATTGCTAGCCTGGCCTGCTCTACGAAGTGTGTGCAAGGTTCTTTCTACCTCAGGATCAAAAGCAACAAGTTCAGGACAAGAAGACCTAGTAGCCAGGACTAGTGCACAACAATGCAGCAACAATCGTGAAAATGCCAACTATGTCCCTAAAACAAACAAAATGAAGCAAATCGATTAAAAACAATTCAAAAAAATAAACTGACACCGAAAATAATCAAATGACGTAAAAATAGAATTTTGATAATTTTTTTGGATTTTTTTGACTCTATGAAAAAAGAAAATAAATCTTTAAAAATAGTAAAAAGGCTTTTTCGCGATTCGAAAAATTTGTCACTTAACTACTTTGTAGTAAGTGACTTTTGATTAGGGAATTTTTTCACACCTAACTGTCAGGACAGAATTTCAAAACGGTGCAATTTTTCCGAAAACCGACTTTTCGACTCAAAAGGCGTTATGGCCGAAACCGCGAGGAACCTATGGCCAAAACGCACAAACACTACACTTAAGACTCTAATATCAGTTAATATTCACAAGAGTCCCCGGCAACGGCGCCAATTTGATCCACTGTCGCGCGCGGGTCAAAAACGAGTTAAATTGCAAAACTGTAGTAACGACGGTAACGGTAACTCGTGTATCGTCTCTCAAGGACTCTTGGGTTTTACTAACTAAAAACGAAATGGGGGGGGGGGGGGGGTTGGTTTGGTTGAAAAAATGATTATCAAAAGTGATTATGAAAATAAGTTATTTTGAAAAAGTGATTATGTAAATAAGTCAATCTATCGATTCAGTTCCTACCAATCATCGATTATTAAAATCTCACTATCCTAAGCGGATTCCTTTCCCGTTCGATTACAATATAATCAACAAGCGCAACAATATTATACGAATTATATTTTCCGTTTGCCGAATTAAGCATTCGGTTAAGCGATAAACGGTTTAACGATTAAGCATACGATAAACACGCAAATAAATTGAAAAACATAGATCAATCGAACCAAACAATATATATTACGAATATCAAATTAAGTAAAAGATAAACAAAATATATAATTGAAGGAAAAGGAATTTTATTGCAAAACTTATAATAATCTCATAGTTTCGGAACCTGAATTCGGTAGATCAACCAAAAGTGATTAGTTCTCCATGGCCATTCGTACAAGCTTACAATCAAAATCCTCAATGGAAGATAGACGCTACAGTGTTGCGGCTGCTACCCTAAGGGGAAAGAGTACAACCCGTTTTACAATCCAACTGGGTCAAACATACGACCCAGGCCCAAAACTAATTGACCCGAAACTTAACTAAAATTAGTGCTGCAACTTCAACGAATTTTCTGGCCCTTCTACAGTCCGATTCTGACTTCTACTCCAACATAAGAATTGTATCTCTTTCTCTTAGCTTTCCGTCGATTATTAGAACGCCTCAATCGGACTTCTGGAACTCCAGTTATGATCGTTTCCGTGCAGACTGCTAAAGCTGAAAATTAAATACGAAAATCAAATAACAATAAAAATAAATTAAAATATAAAAAAATTATAAAATACAAAAATAAGACAAGCAAACCATGGAAATGTATAAGTACAACCGTAGAGTAATGTGCATCAAAATGCACTGATCAATCGACTCATCCTGCTTGAAATCACAGCATGTATTGACACATGCACCTTACCGATCGACTCATCCTGAGTCTTGCAACTGACATGTATCGACGTAAGCCCTGCATGCATCAACTCATCCTGAGTCTTGCAATGAACATGAATCGACGCAAACCCTCCATGGATCGACTCATCCTGAGTCCAACATCCTTCATGTATCGACACATCCAGCTTGGGGTCGACACATCCTTCGACAGTCTGCATAATTTTCTGTGTTTTTCTACTGTAATTCACTACGGGAATCATATTCTTAACCTTACAAACCTTATTATAAACATGATATTTCATCTCCTAACATTATCCTATATTACCACATCGATTAGACAACATAATAACATCATTATTCATCCAGAATTCATCAATATTCACCATACATCATTCATAACACATCTAATTCAAGAACAAACAACAATTACATCTAACCCCGTATATCAAACATCATGAACCCAATTATAAAGCCAGAACCCCACATTTACCTTGGATTGAAGGTCGCTCTATAATTTCCGGGTTGAATTCTTCGTTCTTGCCGTTTTCCACTTTTTCCAGCAACTTCGCGTTCTTCACAATCCTTATTTCTCTTCTTACTACTTCCTCCTTCTATTCTTTCTCACAAATAATAAAATAACATAATATTATTATATTATTCCTTATTGGGCTCAAAATCTACACCCCCTTATTACTTCCACTCACACCATATAGGCCCAAATTAATAATATTAACTTCTAACATTATTTCACCAAATAGTAATATTATACCTCTAATATTATTATTTCTCCACTTAATAAAATAAATCCAATTTAATAACACTTCTTCACAAATATTCTAAAAATAATTTAATTAAATAATTAATTAAATTACGGGCGTTACACCTACAGGCTAGGGATCGCGATACACAAAATGGAACCCCTACAAGCTAGGGATTGTAACATGCACATAGAAGTCCATACGGGCCTAAGGATTATAACATACTTAATGGAATCCTTATGGACCTAAGGATTACAATTGACAAACTAAAACCCTCGTGGGTTTAGGGTAGTGAATACCTTATACGGGTTTAGGGTATGTGAATACCCTATACCAATTTTGGGATAGATATAGAGATGAGGATACCCTTACGGGTTAAGAGGATAGGATGTTGACAGAATAAGCTATAGGAGAGTTCCTATAAAGGTTCTAAGTTTTTCTACCTTTTTCCATAAGGTGGTTTCCTTAAGGATATCATGGATTACACTAGAGGAAAAGACACAAGGACCTCTCTTAAATGGAGGGTCATTACAGACCGAAACTTTCGTCTCTAGGTCATGAAAGGTCTCGTCATGAGATTTTGGTTTAAGGGTTGTACAAAGAGTCATAGGTTTCATTCCAAAGTTCTACTTCCCAAAAGGATATCTCTTGAGACGCATTCGTTTCGCAGAATTCCAATGACTCTAGGCGAAGTCGTCACATAAACTTATAGGGCTAAAGTATTCCATTGACTAATAGACGAACCTTGTTTATAAGGTTTTTAAAAAAAATAATTTTTGAAACAATAAAATCCCACCACAGATGAATATAATATAATGAATAATATAATAAATAATATAATGAGCAAAAATAAGTAAATAATTAAATAAGCAAGAAATAAAAACCAAAAAATAAGATAATCCTAAAAACACTAAAACCAAAAGACAAGGCTTTTAAACCTAGGGTTGAGTCTCCAACAGAGTCGCCAGTTGTTGTAACTGGTTTTAAATATAGAGTCACCACCTTTAATTTTTATCCTAAGAAAGAGAATATAAATGTTACTTTTTATCCTCTTATGAGGAATTTGAGTCTCAATTCGTAGTTCGTAGTTGGTTGGTATTTTTTATGGGATTGTGTATAATTGCTTTTGAATTATCCTTGAACCTTGTCTTGGTTTTGTAAAAGAGTGATCGTAGACGCAGTTTGCAGTTTAATTTTGAAAGTAATTCTCCTTAATCCTCTTCCGAAAATAATCTTGTAATTTTGTTATGTTAGTAGAAAAATATTTAAATTGTTGGTTAGTTGTTTTAAGTTTGATTTAATAACGAGTATGGTAAGACACCGAGCGGGAAGTCTGATATGACCAGATATTGGCCACGTGTCGCTCACGGATGGTGAATTTGTTGAATTGTGTGAATTTTAATTGTTTGATTTTGAATAATAAACTGGTAGATGATGTGTCGAATAATTTAGTTACTCGAGAATGACATCCTTCTATTTATAGAATGTTTGAATTAATTCAATTTGAAAAAAAAATTAATTTCTTTTAAATATTTTTCTATTTAAATTTGAATAATTAATTATCTAAATGAAATAAATAAATTAATAAGTTAAACTCTAAAAAATAGTATTTATTAAAAAGTTAAAATAGAAAAGAAAACATGGGGGTAAGACCACCAACCCTTTATTTCAGCTATGTCTTTTAATTAAGTCTTAAAAGAAAACGTAGTTTTTAGCAATATAATAGTAATACAAAAAATTATGAAACAAGACTAACCTAATGAAAAAGTTCTAATTCTTAACATCAAATAATAATACAATACAAAACATTAAGAAAAAATGGGAACAAGAACCAACGACTCAGTAGGCGACACCCTCCATTTATTATTCTTACTTTCATTTTCTTATTATTACTATTTATTTTTAACACAATCACCCATGTCTCAATATGAGTCCTTTGATATTTTTATGAAAACAAATAAAAGTATATAAACCAACTATATGACCCGACCATTCAAATAAGATTTATTATATTTTAGTCTTTTATTTCTCTCTTTGCGATCTCTTTTCTTTCCTCTCACTTAACCCAAAATCCCTAAAAACTCCTTCCATCAAATTAAACAATGATACACAGTAAATCCAAAGGAATACATGAGGATGAAAACAAGATCCTATACGCGTCCGAAAAACCAGAAGCACTGTGATGGATGCTCGGTGGATTTAATCGGAGAGGTTGAAGGTGGACCCGCGGTGGTTTCTGATGGTAGAACAGAGGTGCGACTGTGATGGTATGCGGGTGGCCGATGCTGCATGTTGATGCAGGTTTTGCGATGGTGTGAGATGCGAGTGTAGAGGGGCTGCTCCGGCTGCGGGTTGTTCGTATGGGCGCGCGACGGTTGGAAGGGCAGCGGTGATTCGCACGGTGTCACGAATTGGAAAGAGAGCTTAAAGTTTATGTTGGCTTGTGCGTGGTGGATCTATGGCTGCGGTCTGAGCATGTTGCGGTCGAAGACGGAGGCTCCTCGCGGTGGCGATGGGATGAGCTTCAGAGGGACATGGTTGTGGAGATCCGGCGGTTGTACAATGGTGCACGTGCAGATCTGAAGAGGTACGATATATATCTTTGTGCTTTTGACTCTACTCTTCTTCTCTTTGATTTCTCCATTCAATCTTCTAGCTTCTGTTTTCCTCGACAACAACCTACAACAAAATCAAAACAAAATAATTTCTACACAGTTAGTGGCGACTGGGCTCACGTTATTTGGGGTGCGATCCTGCAGAGGTTGCGATTGCATGGAGGCTCAGCGGTGTTGGGCTTTCGCATGAATTGGTGTTGATGTCTGAGACGCAAGGGGATTGCAAGGTTCTCTTTCCATTTGTACTTGTTTTCCTCTTTTGCTTTTAATCTTCAATAACAACCTATAAGCCTAAAAAAAGAATAACAAGAAAAACACTTCGTGATCAACACCATACCGACTCAATTGACTTGTTATTGTTGGTGCAAGGTGATGAAAAAAAGGAAGAAGAGAGAAAAAGAATAAATGCTATAAAGCTGCCATAAATGATTGAAAAAGAATTGATTGTATTAAATGTAAATCTAGTACACCTATTTATACACAAAAGTAGTAAAGGATGCCACATAGGGCCTAAAAGAATATTCACAAATGACAAATACTAAATTACATTCTAATACCATCCCGTAATTTAGTAACTATCAGAAGTTAACAACATCAATTTTATCTCTCAAGCAAAGAAATTGGTTTGTTTTTATCGCCTTTGTCAGAACATCTTTTAGCTGTTTCTGAGTACTACAGTGCAGAACTTCTAACACTCCTTTCTCCACTTGACTTCTCAGAAAATGATATTTCGTCTTAATATGCTTGCTTTTTCCATGTAGCACAGAATTCTTGGCAAGATTAATTGCAGACTTGTTATCAATCAACAGCTTCAGAGGTTTCTCTATCTCAATCTTCAAATCTTCTAGAAGATTCAGAAGCCAAACAGCTTGACATGCAGCTACAACACTTGCAATGTATTCAGCTTCACATGTTGACAGAGCCACAACAGGCTGTTTCTTGGAACTCCAAGAAATTGGACCTCCCAGAAACTTGAACAAGTAACTAGAAGTACTTTTCTGTCAACTTTGTCTCCACACTAGTCATAATCAGAATAACTTACTAATTCTGGTTCTGTCTTTCAGAAGGAAATAACACTCCGTATTTCAAAATTTCTTTGATATAGCTTAGAATCTTGACAGCAGCTTGGTAATGAGACCACTTTGGTTTGCTCATGTATCTGCTAACCATTCTAACTGCATAACAAATGTTAGGTCTGGTATTGCACAAGTACCTAAGTGAACCAACCAACTGCTTGAAGATTTTAGCATCCACAGAATCACCATTAGAATCAGAATCCAATTTATGATTGATTTCTGATGGTGTCACAACAACTTTGCAATTCTGCAGCTTAAATCTCTTTAGAAGTTCAAGTTCATACTTCAGCTGATGCAAAATGATACCCTTCTTTGAGTACATAATCTCAATTCCTAGAAAATATACCATATTTCCCAGATCTGTCATCTCAAATTCATTCATCAGAACTTCTTTGAACTTGGCTATATCTTCTGGATAACTTCCTGTTAGCAATATGTCATTAACATATAGACACACCAGAATCATATTGCTACTAGAATGCTGCACATACACACCATACTCCATCTCACATTTCTGAAACTTCTGCCTCTTGAAAAACGAATCAATTTTTAGATTCCAAGCTCAGGACGTTTGTTTCAGTCCATACAAGGCTTTATGTAACTTGTATACCATCCCTTCCTGATTCTTTTTCACAAATCCAGGAGGTTGCGACACATATACCTCTTCTTGTAACGGATCATTCAGAAATGCAGACTTCACATCCAGATGTATCAAAGGCCAATTTTTGTTTGCAGCTAAAGCAATCACCAGCCTGATTGTTTCGTGTCTAGCCACAGGTCCAAATACCTCAAAGTAATCTAGCCCAGGTTTCTGAAGGAAACCTCTAGCCATTAGTCTCGCTTTGTATTATTTCAAGTGGGGGAGAGTTGTAACGCTCGTTATTTAATTATTTAATTAATTGTATTCAAATTATTCGTTGAAGTTATGAGATGTTGTGAATTGTTGGTATAAGTTGTTAGGGGTTGGTCGTGGGTATAATTGTTGTGCGTTGATTTTCTGAGCCTGTTCTTGAAAGATGCCCATTTTCACGTTGGGATCGTTTAGGAATTTTCTGCATGACTGTCTTGTACCATTGATTAATCTTTTAATAGGAGATATAGTTTCCACGTTGCTATATTATTTTGTGCGGTTGGTAGGAAATTAATGGTCGAAGAGAATACTGTAAGGCTAGGTTAACGTTCATCATAGACTGGACGAAATCTGTGCAAAAATGTGAAGACGTGTCGTGCCGAGGAGCACATGTCTTTGTGTCGAGTGACATAAGGTGGCAAGGTGTGCCGAGGAGCACTGGTGCTAGGTGTCGAGCGACACAAGGCTGCAAGGTGCGTCAAGGGGAACATGTAGTTGTGTCGAGCGGCACAAGGCTGCACGATGTGTCGAGTTATATGGGGTGTGTCGGTCGGTACATAGGCATGAGGGAAAGGTGCCGAGTGGCATGGCCACTGTGTCGAGGAGCACACGTTATTAACTCATTCCTGTGCAGACTTTTTAGTTATTTAATTTAGTTTAGTAATCTTAGTATAATAATTAGAATTCTTAAGGTATTCTATCCCTATATGATTAAGAAATTCTAGTAAAAATAAGTTAGTAGCGGGAAAGATAATATAATTAATAACTGACTAGTAGTATATAGTCGAGTTACCCGAAATAATTACGCAGGACATCACAGTATATTTTAGTTAATATGGTGTATTGTATACTTTGTTATAATTTGAGAATTGGCAGGTGATGATGAATTTTGTTGAGATGCCTTTAATTATTGGCAAATATTGAGTTGTAGGCTTATGACTAATGTTGAATTGTGTTGAGTTGTTGTTGAATTATTCTTGTTGTTATTACTACATTCATATTATTGTCGCATACATAGCATATCAAGTTGGGAGCTCATGCTCGGTAAGTTGACCTGAATTGACAAATATAAAGTTGAAGGCTTATGCCTTGTTGATGTCTCTATTAATTGGCAGATTATTAAGTTGAGAGTTATACTCGGTTGGTACCACATGCATGTGCATAAAAACAAGTCGCATTTCATGTTGCATCCTGAGTTGTTATGTGGATGAATTTATTATGTTGAATGTTGTTGAAGAGTTGCGAAGTGGTGATTTTGTATAAACCGATACTAATATACTATTTATCATGCGTTCTATTATATTGTTCGATATCTCACCCTTCTGTTTGAATGTTACCCCATGTTGGTAACGTGCAAGTAATTCAAAGTGAAGGTTGTTTACTTTCAGTGGTTCGAGTCGATGTCGTCGCTTTGATACGTAACACTCTGGATGATGAACATTTATTGCTTTATTGTTGATTTTACTTCTGTTACTGAATTTTAAGTTATTTTCGTTAAGTATTTGTTGTTTTGAAGTTGTTTTCAGTTGGACAAAGATGTTATGCCATTTGAGTTGAAAATTGTGATTCTGCTGCTTAATTATAAAAGTTGTTTTGTTTTCAAAGACTAAACAGATTGTTATTGGTTCATTTTCAAAGACTTAAACAGGTTGTTATTGGTTCATCCGAATTTTATGTGTTATGTATTTGTTTTACATGTGATTAACATAAGTGTTTTAAGTAGTAAGTGTAGCATCTTATTTGTATGTCGAAATTTTGTAATTTTGATTTTATAAAATCCGTTGAGTAGAAATGGGATGTTATAGAAAGAACTTGGTATTTTAAGTTTTTACCAAGTTCTCATCCAAGCTTATGTTCATAACCAACATTGTGATAAAAGAGATGGACATTCAAAAGAAAATGCAAATCAAGATATAAATTTTGAAGATTTTGGATCTTTCTTAAAAAACAAGTCATCTTCAATTGAAAAAAGGTCAAAGTTGCATTAGAAAAGTCATGTTCCGTTACAACATGACAAGATACATGGAAAGATATGTGTTACATTGAAAATCAACAAAAATTTACAATTGACCTACCATTTAGTTTTTGGTCAACTGTTGACTTTTAGCGAAATAGTTGACCAAAGTCAAACTGTCAGCCTAAAACCTTTAGTTGCTAAAGTTATCTTCAAATACCTTGTCCATGATCTGTTTTACTTCTAGCTTAAAGCCATCTTCATCCTTTATCATAATTCACCATGTTCTCTTCATGTTTCGAAATGAGTGATGGTGCCAAATATTCAGACCTGCTACGATCAATGCTTCAATCTTTGAATCATGTTGGCGCAACGTAGAGTGTGCTCAAAGACAGTTTCACATGCCATCTTGTTGCAGTAACATTCTCAATAAATCATGAACATGCACTAACTATGCCATCTATGCCATAACCATCATACACAAAAATCACAAATGTTAGAAAAACTATACCAAACCTACTGCACCACATCTTCATATCAGTCCCAAGATGGCATCAATCAATTTTACTAAACCCCCATCCAACCAAACCATGGCATAACTGCTTCACGAGCATCATACCATGTCCTTGTTGCCCTCAACATTACACCCTGCATTGCCCACCTACAATGGTATACCAAAACAACTAGCATCATGCTAAGGTTTTCATGATCAAACCTATTCACATCAGACTTGTACTAACCCTGCAAATCAATTTCAATAACATCATCACTGCAACATGCAAACTTATACTGAATAGCTTAAGCAAGCAAGATGTATTTCCAGTCACTAAAATCAATCCAGATTGGAAGCAATTGTACACATACACAGGTTCAGAACTGGGCTATAATGCAACATTAATGCTACAAGTCCAATACATTTTAGTACATGAACAGATATGACTAAGCACATTCATATTTCATTCAACATGTTGCCCTTTCAGTTCTGCAAGTTCAGAGGCATACCTTCATACAAGTCAAAATTCCCCATGAAAAAGTTTCTTGTCAAAACACCATTGCATTTCACCTGTTCAAGATGGAACCAAAAAACAATTGAGAACATCATTTGTTCCCAGGACTTGAATATGCATTAAAACATCAAAATAAAGGTTTGATGGTCCTCAAATGCAAGTCCAAATAAAATCATCTCGAATATTCAATGCAAAGACAAATAAGTGCATTTGATTAAAGTTTAGATCATATTCAAATAAAAAAAGGTGGAGTAAAGTCACCATTTAGATGTGTCCCTCTAATTCTCACTACCAAACAAAACTTCCTGGTGCCAAATTTAAAGTTCCCTAATCCACCCTCAGGTGGTCCCTGTCTTTTTGTTTCACTTACCACCTCATCATTATATTTCCCTCACTCATCTTGTGCACACGAATGACACTCCTTTTCACTCACTTTCACGCAATCCTTACCCTAATCTCAACCATTCATTTAGTTTGATCCAAAGGCTACATTTGTGCCAACAAATTCATTTCCAAAAAGTTACTATTACATCAGTAACTCTCTAAAGTAAAAATGATGAAAAAAACCAATTTGAAAAGCATCCAAAACCAATTTTGAAAAATCATTTTGAATTAGCAATTTCATAAACTTTGTCATCAAGTTTGCTTTCCCTCTACTCTCTAATAGCTTCCAAACCAAAGCCTAATTCCAAACCTCTCAAACAAACTCTTAACCATCTTTCTAAGCTCACTCCAAACCTCCTTGATCCGAAGCTAACTTATACTCAAGCACACACTCTCTCTCCCAGTCATTTGGCATCAACAAAACCCTAACGAAGTTATGCCAATTTCATCTCTCAACCTCACACATCATTAAAGCTCTCACTCTTTAAACTCTTCAAAATTTCACACTGAAATTCTGCAAGAGTTGAGTTATACTTCCATCAAATCACGCAATACAACAAACAAAGGTTTTCTAAGCTAGCAGAAAAAGAAGAAGAAAAAAGGACTCACCAGATTTTTGAAAGTTTCATCGTGTTGGTGCAAGGTGATGAAATTGAGGAAGAATAGAGGAAATAAAGAATGATAAAGGCGGATGCTAATGATTGGTAAAGGAATTGAATTAAATATTAATGAGACCTAGGTATACCTATTTATACACAAAGATAGCAAAGATAAGAATGCCACATAGGCCCTAAAAGAGAATAAACTTTAATAGTTAAGTTTTTCTCCAAATATAGAAAATACTAAATTACCCTTTAAAACCATCCCTTAATTTAGTATCTATCAGAAACTAACAACACCAATTTTATTCCTCAAATGAAGGAATTGGTCTGTTTTAATTGCCTTCGTCAAAACATCTGCCAGCTGTTTCTGGGTGCTATAGTGCAGAACTTCTAACACTCCTTTCTGCACTTGACTTCTCATAAAGTGATACTTTGTCTCAATATGCTTGCTTCTTCCATGCAACACGGTATTCTTGGCAAGATTGATTGCAGACTTGTTATCAATCAACAACTTCAGAGGTTTCTCTATCTCAATCTTCAAATCCTCTAGAAGATTCAGAAGTCAAACAACTTGACAAGAAGCTACGGCACCTACAATGTACTCAACTTCACGCGTTGACAAAGCCACAACAGGATGTTTCTTGAAACTCCAAGAAATAGGACCTTCCAGAAACTTGAACAAGTAACCGAAAGTACTTCTTCTGTCAACTCTATCTCCACACCAGTCAGAATCAGAATAACTTACTAATTCTGGTTCTATCTTTCTTCGAGAAGGAAAAAGCACTCCATATTTCAGAGTTCTCTTGATATACCTCGGAATCCTGACAGCAGCTTGATAGAGAGACCACTTTGGTTTACTCATGAATCTGCTAACCATTTCAACTGTATAGCAAATGTCAGGTCTGGTATTGCACAAATACCTAAGAGAACCAACCAACTGTTTGAAGGTCGTATCATCCACAAAATCACCATCAGAATCATAATCCAATTTATGATTGGTTTCTGATGGTGTCACAACAACTTTACAATTCTGCAGCTTAAATATCTTCAGAAGTTCAAGTTCATACTTTAACTGATGTAGAATAATACCCTTCTTTGAGTACAGAATCTCCATTCCTAGAAAATATACCATATTTCCCAGATCTGTCATCTCAATTTCATTCATTAGAACTTCTTTGAACTTGATTATATCTTCTGGACAACTTCCTGTTAGCAATATTTCATCAATATATAGACACACCAGAATCATATTGCCACCAGAATGTTGCACATACATGCCATATTCCATCTCACATTTCTGAAACTTCTGCCTCTTGAAAAATGAATCAATTTTTAGATTCCAAGCTTTGGGCGCTTGTTTCAATCCATACAAGGCTTTATGTAACTTGTATATCATCCCTTCCTAATTCTTTTTCACATATCCAGGAGGTTGTGACACATATAGCTCTTCTTGTAATGGACCATTCAGAAATGCAGACTTCACATTCAGATGTATCAAAGGCCAATTTTTGTTTGCAGCTAAAGCAATCACCAGTCTGATTGTTTAATGTCTAGCTACAAGCGCAAACACCTCAAAGTAATCTAGCCCAGGTTTCTAAAGAAAATCTCTAGCCACTAGTCTCGCTTTGTGTTTGCCAATTGATCCATCTGGCTTAAGCTTCACCTTGAAAACTCATCTGACGTTGATGGTTTTCTTCTCTTCTGGAAGCTTTGTCAACTTCCAAGTTTTGTTTCTTTCAATAGCCTCAAGTTCTTCCTTCATGGCATTCAACCATACTTTATTCTTTAGATCTTCTTCAATACCCACTGGTTCAGAATCTACTAAGATGGCACACTGAACGACTTCTCCTTCAGAATCTACTTCAGTGTCATGCGACATGTTAAAATCTGCAAATTAACTTGGTATTTGTCTAATTCTCTATGGCCTCTGAACTTGTTCTGAAGCTTCTCCAGAACTTGGAGCAGTGCTAGCTTCTGGACCTTGTCCAGAACTACTTCCTTCAGAATTACCACCTTCAGAATTACCACCTTCAGAGCTACTTCTGGAAGCTTGTCCTCCAGACCCTATGTCTTTAGAGTTTTCCCTTCCAGAAATATAATCACCACCAGATTCTGGATCATCATCAGAATCTGGATCAGAATCAGATCCACTATCAGAATCTCCCTAAGATTTTGACTCATCTTCAGAGTCTTCAGAATCAGATTCATCATCTGTCTCTGACTCGTCTTCAGAATT